ATTTTCGCTTTTCCAAAGCCTCAAGGAAACCGCTGCCGAGCGAAACCTTCCAAGCCTTGGTACTGGAAAGGCCCTGCGACCTTAGGTGTCCATGTGGGTGAAAGGGAGTGGACTTGGGTATATTGCGGACATTGGGCACAAAGGAAGGCAAGCGTTAAATCCTACGTCATTTGTGAGCACCGACTTCGGGGGCGGGGGGGGAAATGAAGCCTGCAATGGCTTGGAGCCATGTGAGTCAAGCCGCGAGTCATGCGCGAGGTTGAGTATTCCCTTCACTGCGAAAATTGACGGCTGCAATCCAAGTTGCCGAAAGGTCCAGGCGAAGTGACCCATTCGCACACGCCTCCTTTGGTTTTTCCCATGTCTTTGCGGGAAGTTGCCCTTAATGCTCCCTTTGTTTTTCGCGGGGTCTTCTTCCTTTTTGTCGGGAAAGGGATCCTTGTTGCAGCAATTTGATTCCCACCAGGGAAGATGGATTGGCCGGCCCATGGCAAACAACACTTGACCACCCAGAAAAAAATGACGCTCCATGGCTGCGAACCGCCCAGCGGAATCCTGCCACCTGAGACGTCTCACTTGAACCAGCCCATGGGTCCCGGAAGTTCATCGGAAGATGCAGTCCAGCACATGGGCCCGATTTGGCGGGCTTGGCTGCATGTCTTGTTGGTGAACATATTGCCACCCACTTGTTGGAAGCTACATTCAGAACCCCCCCCCCCCAGTTTGCAGGGTTTGGTTTTTGTTGGTGCATGTTGGATGTTAGGACTTTAACTTTTTGCCAACTAGTGGGTTTTCCGAATTCAACCACGAAAAGCTAAACCTTTAGCGGAGCAGCTTTCGCCACCGAGTTTTGGAAGCACTTCTCTTTGTTTGAACTGCCGGCCCTGTGGACCATCGCGGCGGACTCGAGGCGGCCGTGTCTCGACTCGAATTTTCGACGCCCCGTGGCCTCGAGGTCCATGAGACCAAATAAATTGCCAGCAGGAAGCCACGGGCGCTTGGGAAGATGGCCAAAACATAGCTCCAGTCAGGTTCCATGTTTCGTGGGTGGAATGACCCCCCTAATGTTCTGTAACCTTTTTTGCCCTTCCAGGGAGTTGTTCACTAACTCTGGCAAGGGGACCAAAACAGGTCACCCCCAAAGAAAATCGTCTTTTTTGGCCAGGGTCACTGGGCAACTGGGTAACATACAGGGCTCAGGATTACACACAGACACGATTCTTGCATGAGCATTACTTAAATATTGCTTCAAAGGCCCCTACCCAAATCAAATGACAGAGGCCCCTGCGAGTACCCTCCAGAAAGGTTGGGTTAACGAAGCCTTCAATCAGAACCAACAGAAGGGTTCTTTTGACCCATTTCTTGGAGCGAAACTTAGGTGTCCTTCCTAGCACTGTCCACTTCCTGAATGTGTCTCTTCAATCCTGGTAGTGTGTCTTTAGCACGTTCCGCGGATGAGCCACGGTTTGCGGCCGCTTCCAGCCCAGCCTGGATTTCTTGGTGTCTGGGACCTCACTCATGAAGTGTCCATGTTTGGATCTCCCTTGTTTCAGGTTGGTAAGTCTTCTTATTCACTCCCCTGAAATTGGAGGATCTCGACTTCAGAAAATGTAAGTGACTTTCCTTGCATGTCCCTTTCGAACAACCCAAGCACAGAGGACCATATGGTTCTTCCTGCCGTCCTGTTCTGTTGGCCTTGCCACGGCAACATGTGGCGCTCATAGCGCGCGTTAACGATCCGACAAGGTCTGATCCTGAGGCAGCAAGTTTCCAGGCCTCAAGTGATGCCCCTTTTCTTCAGTCTTTGTCGGAGAGGGTTTGCCCCTGACGTCAGCACAAAAAGCAATCGTGCACTTCCGGCCACTGGAGGTCTGGAGTTGAACGGGACTGCCAGAACCAAGCCCTTGCTGGGTGTCAAGAAACTTGAGTTCCGCTGGAAACCTTGAAAATGTTCAAGGTCTTTGGTGTGGGGATTGGAGTTCTTGCAAACCTTCATCTTCAGATCTATCCCACGGGTTTGGGTTCTGTGCATTTGCCAGGTCTTGGGACTCACCTCACCTTGCCGAGGGGCATGTGGCACAAAACAGCCGCACGCGGACCGCCATCTGCCGGTTTGACACGGGTTTTGGTGCACTCGTGTTGTTTGCCTTCCCTGCGAACGGTCAACGTCACAAAGGGCGTCCTTTTTTCTGGAAGGGTCAACAACAACCAACTGGGATTTTGGATGTGCTGCTTTCTCATCACTGTATGATCACTATTTGGAGTCTCCAAGACCCTTAAAACATGGGTCCTTACCCTTGCTTTCGGATTGGGATCTCTTTGGTTTTGATTGCAAAGGGAACCCACAAGGACAGTCCAACAATTGGGGGAGAGTTGATTGTTTGTAGACATACGCAACATTTGACTTCTTTTCTGAGTAAGCACATTCATGCCAGCGTCTTCCAAAATAGGGCACACTCGAAATGGGGGCTTACCAACTCCATAAAGTAGATAAGGAGGGTAAACCATTAAGTGAAACCTTTAGGTGAAAATGGCAACCCGCAGAAACGGGGGTTCCATTGATCGACAGAGAGGGCTGTATTTTTTAGGCAGCACTCATATCAAACGCCAGAATCGGTTCACAAGTTGGCGCTTTTTGCCAAAGGGTCCTCTGTCAATAGCAAGCCTTGCACACGGTCTTACTGATGAACCAACTGCATCAGTGGACTTTGGTGCATTTTTGCTTGGATGTTAGGACTTTTGCAGGGGAGCAGAAAGCAACCGAGTTGAGATGGATGAAACCCTATTCGATTCGCTGCACGGGTGTCCTTTTGCCTGGCTGCCCATGGCTGAATGCTTCAAGATGACCCTCTTTCCATTAGTGGAAGCTGACAGGGTGCAGTTTTTTCAGAAAGAAAGGCGTCCAAAGGCCTCCTGTCACCTTCCATGGTTGTCGGACTAGCCATAGTTTAGCCCATGTCGGAAAAAATAGAGGCTTTGTTTGGGGGCACTGTTGAACACCTTCCTGATTTCTGGGATCCCTGCTCCAGTGGCAGTTGATTCCTTTGCTTTTTAGTGGGTTCCACCCGGAACCAGGCGCGCTTGTCCTAGTAAATGGGCCATTTGGGATCCAACCCCAAGGTGGCCGGAGGTATTTTTTGTTCGGGCTCAGGCGATTCCTGAAGCGGCTTCAGAAGAGTCGCAGCCAGGCGCGCGAAGGTTAGACCTTTTGACCGCCCGAATATGTGTTTTGGTCATGCTGGTCGAACACTAGATGAGCAACTCACAGAATACTCCCTCCCTTGAGTCTGCAATCGGCGGCCCCAACCTTGGAAGTCTTGTTGGAGTAGCTACCCTTGCGTTGGTCACAGAATGCTGGTAGTCTGTTGGCTTTGGATGTCTTTTGGAGGAGCAACTCATGTTGTCCGCAACTTAAACGACACTGGCTTCAGTTTTGGTTCTAATCATATAATTACAAAAGGCATCATTTGTTCAGAAAGACACCGAGGCGCCAAAATCCTTTTGTAGAGGCCCTCGGTAAGGGGGGTATCACCCCCTTATTCTGCAGATGCTTTATTTAAATGGGGGCTTTGACGAAAAGTTGACGAAATCTCATGAAGCTGGTTGGCATTTGGAGAACCTTTTGCTGTGCTATCCAAAATTAGCGTCATTACTCAGAACCTGCAACGGTTGTGCCAGATCCACGAGAACACACAGCAATGTGAGAAACAACTACACGATTGAGCAACCGTACCAGGGGCTCCACCAGCAAAAGTGGCTCCGAGCCCTCTGGAAAATGGGTTTGGTCTGCCAGGGATTTGTTTGGGTACCCTCTTTCGTGGGCCCATGGCATTCGTGGAACTTTCAGATCTCCACTGTGCTTGATGGGCTTTTCTCGGCCTTTGAAATCTAGGGCTCTATTGCCCCAACGTTCGGAACGAGTGTTGGGATCGGATGGCACTGCCCCCGCTGAAAGAACCTGGTCACAGGTTGCACTACGACGAATGCTGGTTGCTGCTTGTAATGACCAGGAATTTCCCCTAGAAGCACGGGATGTATCGGAAACAGGTACCCCCGCCCCCCCCAAGCACGACTCAAACTCCAGGAGCCGACCAATAGAAACCTGGGCGTGCAGCAAACGATTCCGATGTCCCACCTGTGGAGTGCTCTCGTGGCTTTCCTTGCTTGAAAATTGTGCTGTACTCGTTTAGCAGCCGTCCGGTACTGTGTCAGTTCTTCTTTGTCTCGCTTTTGTGTTTGGGGAGGATTTGCACGGAAGATGCTGGGATGGAGCTGTCACGGGAATTGTCAGGTGTGGATTCTGGAGGCCTTGCCTTTCAATCTTATATCAGGTCCCCCAGTAGGGCCTTGGGGGAGGGTTCCCCTACTAAAACAGACTACAGAAAAAAGGATACCCTTATTCTATCCTCTCTACTGGAGGACCTAGATATTATAGAATATATGCCAGAACCCGTGCCTTCAAAACCCATCGCCTTCCATCCACTGGCCGCTAGCATGGAACGTGCCTGGAGGGTCCTGGCAGACCGGTTTTCTCCAGAATGGGTTGTAGGGTAGTGGACAGGAGGGTGCCTATTGTAGTGGGACTTAAAGCAGGCACCAACTGAGAGATCGCCTTCTAGGGGCATCTCCATGGTTGTTGTTGGGCAACATTTCACATTTTTCCTTATTGTGGTTTAGTGGGAAATCCCCACTGAACTGCTAAAAATTAATTTGTTGCTCCCCTTCCAACGTCAACCAAGTCTCCTTTTGGTGGATCCCCCTTTGGACATACATGGTGTTTCTTGGAGGGTAGCCAGTTCAGGATGGGTCAAGGGGAAACCGCAAGGAAAACCCGCCATGTGGGTGTGGGTCAAAATTTAACCACTAGGGGACTTGACTCCATTTGCCAGGGTTCCATTTGGGGTACATTTTCTTGACCCACAGCCAGGTGTTTTGTTTTGTGGGGCTCCCCCGGATCGCATACTCACAGCTTTAAGCGGGCAGCTCATGGCTCGCAGGAGATGCAGCAGTCCCTAGAAACCCTCCAGAAGCGGCTCGAGGAGATGAAGACGCCTGGCCGGGAGACAGCCGTCCCCTCACCCGGCTCTGAGAAAGCCTTTCTTCGTTGTGCGTTCTTGTTTTTGTTGATTTTGTGTTTGTTTGTGCTTGTGTTTGTGTCTGTGTCTGTGTCTGTGTTTGTGTTTGTGTTTGTGTTTGTGTTTGTGCGTTGTGTTTGTGTGTTGTGTGTGCTGTGTGTGTGTGTGTTGTGTGTGTGTGTGTTGTGTGTGTTGTGTGTGTTGTGTGCGTTGGGTTGTGTTGGTTGTTGTTTCTGACAAGCCGATTGTTTGGCTTTCTAGGCTGGGGGCAGTTCTCCTGAAGGTGAACAGAGGTTTCTATACTCAACAAGCCTCAACCTTATTCTGTATAGCTTTAACATTTCGGCTGGTCCTGTCATCAATTTAGTGAAGGCCTAACACATTCCACTCTTCAGGTCAGGAAGGAGCCAAAGAAAGGTTCCCCAAAACTCATGTGACTCATGGGGTCCTAAAACAGGAGACGGTCCTTGCCAGATGGGTTTCAAAAGGGAATTCACCGTAGACACACTGGCGTTTCCCCGAAATTGGCGCAAGGCCTCTAGCCTTCTCCTTATTGGGGGCAACCGAACCCTCCTCTCTTGGGTCTCGTGCACGCGTGCAGAGTATCAATGCTCATTCGCTGACCTGGGTTGATCAGGTAGGCAAAGTGCTTTGAGTGCCAGGTCCGAGATGCTCAGTTGTCCTTTAAACTTTTCGGCCTCTGATGTCGGTTTGTTTTCGAGGTGATAAATGAGACGAACTTAAGTGTGACGCTTCTAAATCCAAGTGAGCTTCAAATTTGGGCCTTTGGGGCAAGGTCAAACGAGGTTTCCTGGGCTCTTCGATCCTTGAAAGCCTAGTGTCCAAGCTGTTCCTGGATGTTCAACCAATGTATTAGGTCAGAATCATGGTTACAACCGGCAAAACTGGAAGTTTGCCCCCTGATGGCGCGGATCATGACCAACTACGGAGTGTTGGGAGCACCTGTCGAACCCGTACTCCCTTGAAAGCTGGCTTTAAACAACACCTTTTGGCAAGGCCACTGCAAAGTTAGCTAGGTCGGGACGCGTTGATTTTGGTTGGAATCTTGGGACTCCTGAGCCAACCCTCAAGGCCACTCGATCAGAAGTGAGTTTCAAAGGCCGCTGATTGATTTTGGCACTAAGGAAGATGGCACAAGGGCCGCATGATGGCCGCGCGCGGGGCATGGTGATGCGAGGCCCAGAGCCACAGCTAAGTCTGTGTTGGTTGGAAAAGAGGCGAAAGAACATGTATCATCATATATTTGCATAGATTGTTCTATGTATATAAGGGGCAACATATTTGATCCACTGGGATGGTTGACAAACGTTTTGGTGAGTAAGTAGGAGGCAGTACCTGACCTTTTGGTAAATCCCCGATGTGGCCTGCTTCATAGGCCGAATCAGTCGGGCCCCCTTCCCACCAGAATTGTTCTCAGACTCCTTCTATTAAAACCTTCTCTCAGAAGGTTCCACGAGCCTTTTCCAGTGTTGGGGGGCCTTTGGCCTTTGGTTTCTTCTCTTCATTCACGCTTACTTTTGCCCTCAAAAGACAACTTGCGATTTTTGGGTCTTTTGGGTTTGTCTTTTCAACCAGAGAAGTAAACCGCCGCAGAGCCGGAAGCCCCATCCTGGCGAGCGGCCACAGTCGCAAGCCCCCGTCAGGTTTGCTGCGTCTCTGGTGGGTCCCTCTTTTGGTTCTCGGGGCCAACAGTTACGTCCCATGTGAGAGGGAGTCCCCGATCAGCCGAAGAGCTTGAAGTTTTCAGACTCCAGGACCTGGAAGCGATCGGGGAAGATTTGGGGAACTCGGGAAGAAGCCTTGTGATGCCAAGGCTTGACAGCGGAGCTGCACTTTCGGAGAGAAATCTGGGAAGACTACTGTGGATGGAGGAAAACCTGCACCACCTAAAGAAACCTAAGAATGATTCCTTGCCTGTAAATACCAACAAGCAATGGTTTGCCATGGTTTCTTAGGTGGTGCAGGATTTGTGCATCCACAGTAGGTCCAACAGTTTCCAGATTTTATCTCCCAGGGATCTGGAGAGCACAGGCCTCCATCCCATTCCACTAGTTCTGCTTGTTTTTGCTCACGGCGTCCTTAACGACCCCGTGGAGTTCTTTGTTTTTCGGACGTTCATCCCTGCGTTCATGCATCATGGTTCGGGGGGGGATGGGCGGGCGGGGGGGGGGGAGGGGGGGTGGGTGGGGGGGTATGATAAGCACACCCGCTCAACTGCTGCAGATGCGTCTTTCACCCCTGAGGCATTCACTGGCCCAACCTTTGGCTCCAGGACCATGGGTCATCATTTTGTTCTCGCTCTTTGTGTTGCGTACGTTCTGCTGCTGCGTGTCGCGTGTGCACCCTGCCCCATTGTTGACTCGTGGTTCCAGGCATTTTGGACGTGTGATCCGTTCTTGTTGGACGCTCACTTTGAAGTTTTCGCTGGTAGTTCGTCTGATCCTTTCGCCTCATTTTGCGGCATCTGTTGGTGCGATATCTGCTCGAAGCCCTTTGTCCTGGTGTCGGTTACCTGCTGCACTGCCGCGTCTTCGCGCTGCCTGGCTGACGCTCTCGCGCGCCCGCTCCCCGCTTACCCCGGCTTCGCGTGCTGCCTGTTTTGTTCTATCCCGACGTTTGTTGGTCATCAACTTCACTTCTGCACCATCCTCAAGCCAGTGTGGCGAGCTTGCCATGTCTGCCGACGAAGACGATATCTCGCCTGGCCGTCTTAGATCCTTTGTCTACCACTTATAAGGAGCCAATATCGCCGGCATCGTCTGCCGACTCTCCGTGGTCGCGTTCCTACAAGAGCTGCTCGGCGGCGATTTGGCCTGGCCAGGTTTTCCTGTCTCCGATAAAGGGTCTTGGCCAGAGGCACGAAGTGCTGCTATTCTTGAGCGAGGCCACAATGTCCGGCCATGTGTGACTTGGAAACAGAAGGCGGCTCGCTCGCGAGCTTTGAGAAGTTGCCTTGAAAAAAAAAAGAGGCCGGCAGCCTCAAGAAACGCGCGTGTGTTGGCCAGCAGCGCGAACGGCTGCTATTCTCAGGCGATTTGGCCCTTTCTTGTCAAAGCCATGGTAAAAATGAAACAACATAAACATGGTGCGTGTCAACGATGCAACGCAATGTTCATAA